TGGTATGTGTGGCGTGTGTAGTGTGTGTGGTGTGTGTGGTTTGTGTGGTGTGTCTGGTATGTGTATGTGTGTCTTTTCATTTTTTTCTTTGAATATTGACCGTCGTAAAGTCTAAAATCATTAATTAACCAACAAATTTGAAAGAGTTTCTTAACTAATGGTGTTTCTATTTCTTTAAAGCTTTTCAGATGATTGCAGTGTACTGTTCCACTTGTTTCACATGCCATTTGTAATTAAAACGCGGGCTCTTTTATCCCCGACGAGTGTGGGTAACAAAGTGAGACTACACTTTATAGCAAGAGATATTCAGGCAAAAAGTAAAAGTTGAATTTCTTAAAACGTTGCTATTTGAATAAAAAAAGAACTTGTCATTGTTAGCTGTCTTACTATTTCTTTTGATTGTATGTACATAATCGCAAAAAAAGTCATTAAACTTTTTTAAGTAAATGAATCATTGCTATCACAGCTCAAAAGATGGTCAATGTTGAATGGGTAGCGAAAAACAGGAAATGAAATTTCAATATTATTTAAAATAATTTCAAAATATACAAACTAAAAGAAAACAAACTTTTGCGAAATCATTCTGTAGTCCCCACTGTGAATTATTTTACGGTTTTCATTTTTAGAATAGTTACTGCCCTAATCACCATTATTTCTTCATAAGCTTGCCATATAAAGTATTTGTTTTAAAAAATAATAACACAATTGCTCAAAGGGTATTTATTTGGTCTCAATTTATTCATGAACAGTTCATCAGGACTGCTATGCAAAAAACTGTATGTCCCGTAAGACTGCTTTCTAATATTGAAAGCATAGCTAACGGATTTAGTCGCGTTTGGACTGTAGGTAGATAGTTTTTTATATTACGAAGTACTAAAGATGATTTCTATGCTGTACGCATGTATACTCAGGAATATTCGTAATGCGATATTGATATGAGATATGCGAATATGTATTTTCGACACCTTTTTTGTTAATGTTTAGATTCAATTGGAGAAATCCTTGGAAATGGAGACACTCGATTAGCCACGAAAGATTAAAGTATCCTTTTCATTTTCCTGGTAGGTATAAAGTCTAGTCGATTTACTGTGTCAGTAATACCAATAAAATAAAATATTTACAATTTTGACTTTTTTTGACAAAACCGGCAAATTAAACTAAATAATTTATAGCTCCTAAACGAACTAACCGATTTTGACTTATTGTTAGTTTCTTTTTTGTTTGGAAGATGATTGGAAGGGGAGTTTTTAGCTATGATTCATTACAATTAATGTCTAGGGCTTTATAAAATTTTAATTTAAGGTTCATTACATTAAAGTGAGTAGATATTGGCCGCCCCTACATGTTAATATGACACTGCCCAATTTTGAATATAATCTTATCCCTAGGTGTATGTTCTTAGACATTAAAATTTACAATTCTGTCTTGATTTAAATATCAGCCTCTTTACTACGTATACGTACGCCTCCGATGTAACTCCATTACACCCAAATGTCTTCTGATATACCCATGGTACCTATATAATGTAGGTACGTTAGAGAATATCTTTTATATCCATTATATAATCATAAATAAAAGTTAAATTTTCGTGAACTTTTTCGTGGGCTTAGAAACTCATCTTTGGTAAATACCCATCAATCCATTAGAAAACTGTTACCTAAGCTTTTTATTGCGTAGTCCGTTTCATTTTTTAGTATCCCATCATGTTTTTAAGGTATCGTAAAGCTATAAAAGCGTATACTATAACAATCTTATAATCATAGCAATCATGCTGTTAGTTTTCCTTGAAGCTATACAAAGGTTTAAGATTCTGGGTGAGAAAATGGTACCTAACACTTAGTAGGTGCTTTTAAAAGAATATTTCGTAAGAACCAAATTAATTTCACTTTAATGGCATCACGATATTATACTATAGTTACTTTAGGATCCATCAACTGCTCTTTTGAGATTTTGAAAGTTTAAAGGCGCATTTAGACTGAGCGAGCGTTGACCATTTTAATATTACTTTGCTTCTTCTTAAAAAACGCTAAACCTCAAGTGTCATCATTTAAATTTATACGTTTTTCATAATGTTCATTGAATAAAACAGGATATCGGTTCGATTCCAGATCCGTTTGCTTTGACCCCAAATTTTACTGTGGATTTCTTAGATCACTTCAGCAATTATTAGTTCAGTGATACTCCACAGTAAATCTTTCACTTCTCTTTTGTCTTCATTTCGTCCAACTTCTTTTCCCAATCACGATTTCTAATAAAAAATAGCTGAAGAGTGCCTTCTGCTTACCCTTCAGCCTTACACTGAATTTTAATGAACGCCGGGTTGTTATTCTCCCTTGGTTCTACTACAGCTTTTTTGCTTTTAACATTCACCTAAAAGTGAAAGCAAAGTTCTGAAGGTTTGCTTGATTGCTTGTCGTCGAACTCGCGTCAAACGTTTTGTTTGTTGGATTCTCATTCGCTTAGTGTAAACGCGCCTTTAAATATCTCATCCGTTGTGAAGGAAATGATGTTTCTGGTAACGTATTTGTACATAAATAATGGCTTTATGGCACGAAATTAAAAGTTCAGGTTCAGCAACTGCTTACAAAGGCTATGAAAAATATTCTTGTTCACAAAACCACTTTAACCAGCGAAAGTGAATTTTCACATATCCATATGCATGGTATAAATAATCTGTGTAAATTAGAATTTTACACGCCAGTAAGTTCTGAATGAAATAGAGAAGAAAGCGGGCAAAAAGTAACAGTAGTATTTTAATTTAATTTATTTCTATTCGTACTTACGCCAGAAACATTTCTAGTTTTATGAGTAGTGTCACCACGCGATGTTATAATTATTTATTGTTTTAACTCTGAAATACTTTAAACATGACTGTGAAAGTCAGTACGATATTTATTGCTTTATCTATACAACAATTTAGTTTGCTTTAGCAAATAAATAATATGTACCTTTACAAAAAAAAATCAAATTTAATTAGAGCAACCCTAGGATATGAGCGAATATAAAGATAGGGGACGAAAAATTAGAAGAAGTGACAGGTTTTAGGTATCTATAGGAAGTCAGATAAGTCAGGACGGAAGGAGTAGTAGGGATATAAAGCAGAGGATAGCACAGGATGCAGTCGCCATCAATAAAAAGAACGGTTTATTTAGAAATTCGAAAAAAGTTGTTAAAGGTGTATGTTTGGAGCACGGCACTGTACGGGTGCAAAACATGGACAGTGGGCGCGGCACAAAAATAAAGGTTAGAAGCGTTCAAAATTGTGCTGTTACGGGCAAATGATAAGGATACCGTGGATAGAGGAGGTTAGAAATGAAGGGGTATTAGAAAGAGTAAGAGAACAAAGGACCCTATGGAAGTCAATAAGAAATAATTCGAGATAGATTAGTAGAAATCCTTCTCAGGCATGAAGGTCTAGTCAGAGATATATTAGAGGCAGTTAGGAGGCCTAGAGGTAGACCTAGATTAGATTACTGTTCGCAAATAGTTAAGGATGTGGGTTGTTCTGGTTTTCGGGAAATGCGAAAATTAGCTCAGGATAGGAAACAGTGGAGGTGCGTGTCCAACCAGTCTTAGGACTGACGACCTTATGATGATGATCTGATTACAGCATTTTATTTTGAAACTGAGGAAGATGTCATCATTTAGGGAGCTCGGAAGACAATAATGTTCAACTTTACCCTACGATAGTTTGATGTGTTTTGTTAATTAATTCAGTGATACATTTACCCTATGAGTACTGTTTTATTTTCAATTTTACTATTACTTAATTTGCCTGTATTGTGAAAACTCTTGTGGTTCAAATAAAAGAGACCATAATTTCGTAAATTCGCAACGGTTTAACGTACCGGAAGGTTATTACCCAGAGTTTCCATGGAATTTCAGCTAGTTTCAGACTACCTAACGGTACGGTAAATGCCAATTTCTACGAATGTGTCGAAAATGAATATAACGTGTACCATAATAACTGCAATTACTTCTACTAAATATTTTTTTAATGACTGCTGCAAGTGTTCGTGTAAATATTTGAAACAGAACAATTATTCTAACGATAACGGCACATGAAGATGCATGTCATAAAAACGTGTGAAACGTCTCACATGTTTTGTTTCCCATCTTATTTCTTTGTAAAAAGACGCCACATGTTCTTCGCAGACGTCATAATACTAATAGACGATGATTCTAAAATTGCGATGCAAAATACGAACTACGCATGTTGTGTTGACAAGTCAACGTTTAATTGAGGAAAAGTGTACTTACAGTATTAACTAATCCTAAGTATAAACGCTTGACCTTGAAATAAACTATTTTATTTTTATATACTTACACTACATTGGCGCAAACACTTTTGACCACAGTCTAATTAAAAGATAAAAAAACACAATCAGAATCTATCTAAAATACCTTCAAACATATTTCTGTCTTAATATTCAGTAAATTAATGAATTACTTAAAAAAATTGTACAACCTTTGCAAATTTGGATAGATGGTGTTGCTATGAAGGCCAACATGTCCAAAGATTGGTAATTTCTAAAGAAATTTTCAAAAGTTTATCAGTATCAAATTTTAATGTTCCAGTACGAACGGTTTCGAAGAAATAGAGGAAAAATCGTGTTCAGGATAACCCATTTGAAGGTGTATGACTCCCTTAAGAAGCACTTTTTGTTAAATGTTTGTAGGAACTATTATTCATAGATACATATGAAATCACCCCTTGAATTTTTACTGCAGATTTAGGAAAGACCCTGTATGAATTTTCATTTACACTTCGTTCTATTCAAAGCAGTTATGTAGAAGCTGAGATATAATAAGTGCACACGTAAGGGAAATATATTCGAGACAATGACGTGTATAATAAATAATGTTTTTCATTTGTAGTAAATTACTTGTGAAATCATAAAAACATTTTATTTTGGATGGATGTAATGAGTTTTTTGTTTCCCATCGAATTATTGACTCAAATTTTCTTATAGCAACTACTATTGTATTTTTCTTTTCAGGAAACAGAATGCGATTTGTGAACCACTTTCTGTGTGGTGTTCTTTTTTTCTGCCTAAGAACCGTACTGTCTTTAAGAGGTAAGAGAATTATTTATTTATATAACAACTTAATAATAATTGGAAGCTAAAATTATTGAAAGATAAATTACGTACTCAAATGATGTACGAAATTCAAACGTTATAAACTCAACCCTGATTTGTTTAACCCTTCTTGGACTATTAAATTTATGCAGCTAATAGCTTTCGTTTCATTTTACATTTGATAGAAGTAAAACAAGGACGAAGAGTTGTTGTGTATTGCCAGGTTTAACTTAAATTCAAAATGCAGCGTATTTAACAATTTAAAAATGAAAATTGTTCATCATCATCATAAGGTCGTCAGACCTAAGACTGGTTGGACGCACCCTAAAACCAGAACAATCCACATCCTTAACTATTTGCGAACAGTAATCTAATTTAGGTCTACCTCTACTCCTCTTAACTCCTGTCTCTGCCTCTAATATGTTTCTGACTAGAGCTTCATACCTGAGAAGATGTCCTACCAACCTATCGCGCCTATTTTTTATTGACTTCCATAGAGTCCTTTGTTCTCCTATTATTTCTATTACCTCTTCATTTCCAACCTTCTCTATCCACGGTATCCTCATCATTCACCAATAACATCTCATTTCGATCGCCTCTAACCTTTTTATTTTTACAGCGCTCACCGTCCATGTTTTGCACCCGCACAGCGCTCCAAATATATACCTTTAACAATATTTTTCGAATTTCTAAATTAATCGTTTGCGAGCATAGAAGTCACTTCTTTTTATTGAAGGCGATTCGACCCTTCAATATCCTCTGCTTTAAATCTCTACTACTCCTTCCGTCCTGACTTATCTGAATTCCTAGATACCTAAAATCTTCGTCTCCTATCTTTATATTCGCCCTTTCCCTACTTTTTCTTATAGTTAACCATGTATTAAAAAATGTATGTGATTTAAAAACACATTTCCTGCAAATTGTATTACCTAGCACATATTGCTTTTTTTGTCAAAACAATGATAAAGTAATTTGTACTTATTTCACTTCATCAAGTTTTTCTACATTTGTTGGAAACATGTTAAAACAATAACATACCGGAAGAATACAAACCTTGACTTGCCTTTATACACTGGAATTAAATGCCTCTGTCAGGTGACACATTAGTGATTCATTATTATAATAAGTAGCTTTTCAATGCTGTCTCTAACGCGATAATTTAAAACAGCATATCAATCGCTTTGCTTTTACTTGTAAAGAAGGTCTTTACTTTTTACAGTACGAGTTAATAGCCTGCAATAAGAGAACTGCACAACTGTTTAAAGAAGCTATATTTTCTCTACATACATATGTTTGTGATTGTTGAATTCTACAAATAATATGCGTATTGTTTTTAAGCAAAAGTATTTGTATTTTCAGTTGCTAGAATTGTCTATGCATATTTCAGACAGTAAAAAGCCAAAATTAATCTAGCTATTAATAACAAAAAATAAATTGAAATTGAGTTTTATCTATCCATTCATCTACGATATTCCAATCAATTCAACCGCTCTATGAATATATCGATTTATTACATGTAGGTAATATTTTTTGCGAATTACGTATGCGTGATGGTATAAAAAAAGCATACACTTTTACCTAATTCAATCTTGTAGGTAACATTTATCTATTATTCGTATCTACCCACTATTTACTATTAAGCGAGATAGCTACCGTATTCGTGAAAGTTTTTGAAATCTGATTGTAATTGAGAACGTATTACAGATATTGTACTCGTAGGCATATTATACACAAAAGCACTGATTTACACCTTTCACTCACTCAGTCGGTCGAGAAATTTTTAACCGATCTGCATCGAAGTGACCTTAGACTAATGAGCTTATTAAGAGGCCATGATACATTACAGGTATTATGGTGAGTACTTTAAAACAGCAATGACATTGTTTCGTTTCATGTATCACGTACAGAAGAAATTAATGTGTGAGGTCACCTAATCTACTTAACCTCTTTATGTGTTCACTCCGGAATTCCCAGACAAAGTTTAACAACTTTTAAAAAAATATACATGACGAATGGTTGGTCGCCAAAAAATGTACTTTTTGCGGAAAAGAGATAATGCTGATGTAAAAAAAAGAAAGTTTTTTTATATTTAGGAATATATGTTTCAGTAGGTCACACCAAACGAATGCTAAGTATTCGTATGAGTTTTAAGGACGACAGATTTGAAATAATGGACCTCACAAAACTAAATTATATCTATGTCCATTGTTAATAAATAATCGCTCATTATTTTACTGATTTGATTGTCATAAACAAGTAAGTAACTGAAATTAAATAAATAATTAACTCTTTCCTATAAAAAAGTAGAATAGTAATACTTTCGGTTTGTGAAGATACAAAAAACTAATAAGTACTTTTTTCAATGTACTTACCCAATTATTAATTAAAGAAGGCTTTAGAAACTGTATACCTGTAGGAATGCAAAATTTAGGAAAATTCCTGCAAAAAACCCTAACTGCTGAAGTAAAATTGAAAACCTAAAATCCGCGCCGCATATTTGAAATGCCACCCCTTTACACTAATTGGTTAATATCAAAAGAAATACAAAGCTTATAATTTTCAAAAACATTACAAACCGTTTTCATATCTTTTCGTGACGATATAAATAAATTCCCAATGTCTTGCAAGTAAATCAGTGACAGGATTGTAAGATGATATAGATGTTACGTTAAATGTGATTATCATGCATAATTGCCGGTTGTTATATATAATCACCAGTAAATTTAGGAAATTTATTGAATTCATACTGAAAAATGTTTCGTTCGTTTTATCTTAGAATCTTAGATCAGCAGTAGGTAACTGGCGCACCGTGGTCCAGGTCCGGACCGTCGAAAGTCAAAAATAAACTATGTAAATAGATTATTTAAAAATTATTTTTATATAGATAACAAAATACCTTTGAGCTTTGAGCGTCAACCTTATCATTTTTTTTTTATTATTTTACAAGTAACTTATGTGAATTCTCAATTATTTATATGCTTTTAGACAAATTGAAATAAAAATTGATAGAGTAGATGTTTTTTTTTTTGGATTTTACTAAAAATTTTCAAAAGTATCCAGACCCGACATAAAATTACATGTCTACGTTTACCTCCTAAACGGTCAAGTAATAGCATTAAATTAAGAATCATAAGGTTACAGTAGGTAAAGACAACACGAACGAAATGAGTTTTGTTTAAGTAACGCCCTTTTCAAGAATTCATCACATTTACCGTAATATAAATATCAAAAACCAAGATGATATGCTTAATACCAAAATCGAGACTTTTTACGCATTTTGCCGTTTATTGGTTAGGTTTTCTTTGCAGTTTAATAACAGTATAATAGGGTGGTCGTTAAAAATTAAATTCTTTCGGACGCTCAAAAAAATCCTTCCTTTTGACGAAAAACTACGGGAAAAATTTTGTTTTTTGATTTTTAACAAAAAAAACACGTGCCGACGGCCAATTCAAGTTCATTTTTCGATAAAATTATAGTTTTTCGTTTTGAAAATAAATAAATAATATTGCATATAACTTGGTAGTCATTAAATAAATCTCTATAAATAAATAATTGTATATAAAATTTACAAAATTGTTCATATTTCAGGAAAAATAAAGTTGTTAGTGCTAAAATAACTGACTTAATAAAGTTTATAAGTTTACCAATGAGATTATCTCGATTTCCTATAAGCCTGTTTTCATGATTTTTTATCCAAATTAAATACTGTGTTCAATTTTTCAAAAAACTATAATTTTATTGAAAAATGAACTTCAATTGACCGTCGGCACGTGTTCTTTTGTTAAAAGCAAAATTTTTCCCGTAGTTTTTCGTCAAAAGGAAGGATTTTTTTGGGCATCCGAAAGAATTTAATTTTTAACGACCACCCTACAGTATAATCATGGATAGCGTGCTTTTCTTGTAATAAGTCATTAGTCTACTAATGTATTGCACAACAAAGGCGTAATAACGTTATCTTTAATTGGCAATAAAAATAAGATGCAGTCGGGTACATGCAGTGTTATATCTATCTGCAGAACACAGAAAAGAAAAACGGTGTTTTTTCCTTGCATGAGAGATGCGTAACAAGTTTATTGTAAGCCGCAGATGTATTACCTCACGGGTATTAGGTTTGGTAGTTCAGGAAGTTGGTTATTTAGACCGTAAACTCGTATCCGCTCGATGGACTTTTCAGTTAACTATATGGACATATAATTATGCATATGCCACACAGATGTGATAATTTTTCGAAAGTACCTAGCATAAAATGAAACGCAAAGAAAGGAAAGGGTTTCAACAATTCCTTCCACTTAGCGTGTCACTAACTGTTACGAATACCAAGAGTGATAGAATGAATTTTTTAATAGTTTCCAATAATTTCTCGGATCAAATGTAATATCAACAATTGAATCTAAACAATGAGATGCCAAAGAAGAGACGATGAAGCCCAATGATGGTCACAATTAATAATAAAAACAATTAAGAAAAAAACGTCAAGATAAGTAGCACCGAACTAATAGATAACATAAAGAACTGGAAAGAAATCCATTAGGGAATGTCGACAATAAGCTGCCAAAGTCAACACACCTTTAACATTTTTTGAACGTTGGTGCCCCATTGTTTAAATTGAATTAATTATTAACTGTACATCAAAGAGAGTATTGTTTTCACTAATTTGGTATCATTTAATGAGAGATTGTTTGCAAAAATACTTCTTCACGACTATAAAGATAAAATGGTTACTCTATTAAATTTTTAGAAATTGGTAATATGAGAGTCGATATGATGCTTAATATAAAGTACAGTGTAAACTCTTTATAACGTCACTCGATTTAACGACAAACTCCTTAAAACGTCGAAATTGCTTGACTTTGGTTGGTTTACATTGTTTTCTATACGTACAATATTACACTCTATATAGCGTCACGCTCACTCTATTTAATGACAACAATGCGGCATTATAAATCATTAAGCAGTACTTTCTAAGTTGCCGAAATAGATAAGAACTGCAGCTGTGT